GAGAGCTGTGGGAGTGGTCCGACCAATTTTTTCACTAATAGTTGTGATTTTATTTGTAAAGAAGCTCATGAAGTCATTGCTGCTGAGATCTAAAGGAATGTTAAGCTCAACAGCACTGTGGCTCTTTGTCAGCCTGGCTACAGTGCTGAAAAGAAACCTGGGGTTGTTCTTATTTTCCTCAATCAGTGATGAATAAAATGCAGTTCTGGCACTATGAAGGGCTTTCTTATATGTTATTAAACTATCTTTCCAAGCTATAAAAACTCTTCTGACTTAATGGAGCGCCACCTCCTTTCCAGTTTTCGTGATGCCTGCTTTAGGGAGCGGAGCTGAGAGTTGTATCATGGGGCCTCTGTTTCACTGCCTTCCTTTTCAGATGGGCAACGGTATCAAGTGTATTATGCAGGGAGGCTATCAACAAGATTGACTTTTGGAATTTTCCAGGCTGTTTAAATGCACAGTCAACTGAGTGTATGTAAATTTTTGATTTCAAGTGTAGAAGAAAAGATTGAAGATACAGTATAACATGTCAAGATGTTCACATTGTGTAATATTTTTTGTTGTGAACTGTCTTTCAAATCCTGTCTTCTGTCTCTGTGTGTTCCCCTAGAGCTCAGGAGGCATTGAAGACAGGTCATTTTGTCAGCGTTCTTCAGGTCTTGATGCAGTTACAGAGAGTGTGTAACCACCCTGAGCTGGTGGCACCCAGAGAAACGAGCAGCTCCTACTCCTGCTCCTCTCTGCAGTACAATGTCCCATCACTGGTGCTAGGAGCTCTTCAGAATGACTCAAGCAAGGTATACACCTGTGCTTCACATTGCTCATGTGCATCATGGTGTTTACTAGCCATGTTTAACCAGCTAAACTCAAAAATTTATGTTGTTATAATCTAACTGACAAATGTCCTGAAAATCAGTGCTAAAGGAATTAATTGATAAACTGAAAAATATTCTAAGTAGTTATTCACTTATCAAAATGATTATCATTTTGATAAGTGAATAACTACTTAAATAATAAATATGGATGTTGCTGAAATGTAAAGATTAGTTTTTGCCTCTTGCATGATGTGGAATTAAATGAAGTTTCATAATCAATCTCCATTGATCTGCTTCTCATTGTCCTTCTAGATTGCCAGCATGTCAATTTTTGATCTGATCAATAATGAGAACAGACTGACTCGGTATCAGACTGAAGAGGCAATACCCAAACTAAAGGCCACTCAGCAGCTCATAGAAGAGATCTACACTGGTCCAGATCCTCCACCACGTCCCAAACCATGCCCGATAAAACCCATGAGGTCAGCAATAAGATTTCCAAATATGCAAGTAACATGGTGTTGATGTGGAGATTCTTGGACATTATGGACAACTTCAAACATTTTATTATAATATTGTAAGACTGGGCTTCTCGCACTGATAAAATGTTACTTTTTTTTATTTTTATTTCTGATTAGATTGTTCCAGCCTGTGCAATATGGGACAAAGCCAGAAGGTCGCCTTGCTGCCATCCAAAGTGCAATGGGCCAGCGTCCTCCAATGAGTTCTTCTGCTACCAGCGCTTCTGCTTCTGTCACCATCCAGTCAGCCCACACTGGGGGCAAGTCCCCTGCCACCACTGCAACTACTACGGCCACTTCTCACGGTAAGACCATTTCGGTTTCAGCAGTTCTCAGTAGATGACATCAAATGTTGTTTTAACAGTGACTATACCAGTTATTACCTTCTGATGTGTGTATTATCCAAAGTTATGCTGCATGATGGTGATGCGGTTTCAGATTAAAATGAACCTGATTTACTGCGTCATGCTTTAAAAAGTAATTCACTCTGTGCCCATTCTGTCATGTATAGTGGCTTTTGAACGTATTCAGACCCCAATCCTCTCCCAAAAACCACTCTAGCATTGTCTTGGCTGTGTGTGTCAGGTCACTGATGTGCTGAAAGGTGAACCATTGTCCCAGTCTCAGGTTGCGTGTGCTCTGGTCTTGACCTGTCTGTTTTTGGCTACATTCTTCTTTCTGTCAATTCTGACCAGTCTCCCTGTTCCTGCAGCGCTGAAGCAACCCTGCTGATTTGCCATAGGGATTGTATTAGCCAGGTTATGAGCAGTGCTGTCATATGCCTTGTACTCAGTGACTTCTGTCCAGCCTCTCTACCATAAAGTCCTGACTGATTGATAGCTGCTGAGATGGTCTTCCTTCTAGCAGGTTCTCACATCTCTGCAGTAGACTTCTAACATTCTATTACAGTCCATTTTTGGTCACCTTGCTGAACAAGGCCTTTCTTGCCTGGTTACTCACTTTAGCCTCACAGCTGACACTAGGAAGAGTCCTGGTCAAACTTTTTTCCATTTCACACTTATTGAGGCCACTGTGCTCCTGGGAACAGTCAAAGCTTTAAAAAATGGTTTTATAACCACCACAGTATTATCACAAATGTCTACAGAGAGTTCAGACTTGTTTTTTGTGCTGATTTGCAGTGGGAGTGTGCCTTTCTAAACTGTCTGTTCAGTGAACTCTACACACATCTGAAGGTTAATTAAAGCAAATGGCAAATTGAAAGATTGCAGTTTTGGATTTTTAATAAACTTGCAAAACTTTCTAAATTCATGTTTTCACTTTGTCATTGTGGCTAATGATTTGAGATGTATGGGCAAAATACAACATTTTATCCATTGAAAATTGAAGCTACAACACAAGTTTCCATAAAGTGAAAAGGTCTGAACACTTTCTAAAGCCACTGTAGTGTTGTTAACGTTTTCAATGCATTTTAATAATATGCAATGTGTACATACTTACATGTAGTCCAGCAAACTTTAAAAGTTAGATCCTACTAGTAAAACTTTAAGGAGAGGTATGGTACACCTTCATTGGCAAGTTTCTCTGGTCACAGAGGTGTCATTTGTTTAGATTTATACTTCTGTGCAGCAGTGGTGGGCAGCCACATCATTTTTCTCCTCATGGCAGCACAGCCATAAGGGTAAGCCTTTAGATGCAAGGTGAGGCATTTAGCAGCTAACTAGCCCTGATCCCCTGTAATAGCTTATTGATCTTAAAAATGATGGAAAAGTTATGCAACAGAGGATCTAATGACATGAGTAACATTGTCAGATGAAGAGCTGCAGGCAAAAGGCACTTTCTCCAATTAGGGTGATGTTTAGCTGCCACTGAATACACCCATGTAGATGGAGCTGATGTTTTAGAGATACAGCTATGTCACACCAACTTTGGTCATTGTCAGGTTTTATGTTATTCATCTTGTTAGCAGTGATTTATCATTAACATCACTAATCCCTCCTTCTGTGTTGGCCCACCACTGCTGAGTGGTATATGGAGGAAACTGTTGATTTGACTAAATACTGGGTTGCCATCCCTCGCCCCATTGCCTTGTACTTCACAGCAGTTGGAACAGCTACTCAGAGAGCCCAGCCTACCCCTCCTGTCAGCAGCAGCAGCAACTGTGCCACCTCCAGTGTAGCCTCCTCTGGGAACAGTGGTATTGGGCAGCATGTGTTGGGGGCTGCCACTGTGGCACTGGGCCAGACCTTAGCTGGAACACTTGTGGGATCTATAGCTCCCATCAGCCAGCCTGGATTAGCACAGGTCTCCAGGCCAACTCTAGCTCCCAGTCATGCCATTCAGCCCAACTTGCTGTCCCAGAGGCTGGTTCTTACATCCCAGGCCCAGGCACGGTTGCCTAGTAAGTGGCCTCCCCTCCCCTACCTCTCGGCATTTCCCCTCCACCTCTGGCACAACAGTACAGGCTGCTCTACACTGAGGCCTTTCTTGGGACACTGCTGATATGTGTTCACTCTACCTTTCCAGAAAAATTACTTTCTGCATAGACTCAATTGTGCACTGGAAGCAGAAAAGGTGGTATAGCAATTTCGCAATTTGTTCACAACAGAGATGCCATGTATTAATAGCTGTACAACTCGGGGGAAAAAAACAAGGAAAAGGTCCATTTAAAATAAACCTGTAGCCATATCAGCAGCATCTCCACAGTCTCAGTATTCCCCAGTTTCTTTCTCGAACCCCGCATGTACACTATGAATGACTCACTTATGTTACACCACATCACTACATTATTTAACTTAATTATGTCCTCCCCCCTTTTAATCTTTTTTTTTTCTTTCCAGATTACTAATATTCTTTTGTCTCTTGTATCAGCCCAGCTACAGGAAGAAATCCCAAAGAAGCTTTGATTGTTTACTTTTTTTTTTTTTGCTGTCATCATGCAGTGTTTCCCACAGAATTACACTCTAATTGTGGATGTAGCTCTGGGAGTTGGGGTGGGGGGGGTTTGTCACGTTTTCATAATTTGTTCTTTTTTTTAAATTAAATATAGAAATGCTATAGTGCTGTTGTGCTATTCATATGACCTGTCCCTTCTGCACTAGCTCTCTCTTCCTGACTCTTCCTGTTTCAGTAGCACTGGTCGATACCAGTAAACATTCAAACCAAATCAGTTGGCTCACTAATCACACTGATATGCTTTCCCACATTTGTTTTTCGATATTCCCCTGGACTGAGGGGCAAACATTCAGCATCCGAGTTTAAGCATTAACTCACTTGCAGAGCAGTCCATATGCATCCATGCTATTTACAGTGTGCTAACCTCGGCAACAGCTAACTTATTAGAAGAGTTGGATCTCCACAATTGACAGCATTGTGTTAACGAAATTGTTATTTTAAATTAACATGTGACAGCCTGCCACAAATAAATCAGTGTATGGGAAACACTGTCATGATTTCACTCTGATGTTTAGCATCACTCTAAAGCATGAGTAAATGGTCCCACAAATTGCCAACCCTTTCTGCCTCAAACGTGAACAGAGAAACCTTTTCAGTAACACAAATTACTTGAGTATGTAAAAGGGAAACATTTTAGGACAATGATTTTAATGTTTTAATTGGTTTTTGTATTGTATTTCTATCATTCAAGACCTTGCTGTTACACCTGCGGTAAAGAAACTTAGAAAAACTGAATGAAAAGGAGGCATTTCTGCCCAAGAGGTCCAAGGTCCATTATGCCATTTCTAAAGTCTACTTCTACTTGTAGTTAATTTCCCTAAATTCATGAAGTGAGTTGTCTCTAAAGTTATGTAAAGTTGTTTATAAGTGCAGAATTTCTTGTTTAAGCAAAAATTTTACATATTTGTTTTTATTAAAGGGCAGTTGGACAGAGTACATTACTTCATCGGAAAAGGATCAAACTAGCATTAAAAATGTTAATGTGAATTTTAAAAAAGAAAAAGAAAATGATTGAATAATAGATGCTCTAGGTATGTGTATGTTTCAGGCTCTCTGTCTCACCTGGGGATTTCCCTGATAGCCGTTTTCTTTTCTCCTCAGGGTTTGTAAAAATAGGAGCTGCTACGGTTCTATTGTGGACAGTGACTGTGCTTGTTCCACTGATTAATCCACCCTTGTTCTGCATGCCTTGTCTTTTTCACCTTTCAACTAACTGATGCAGAGTATATTATGCTGTAACTGTTAAAATGTCCGCTGACTTTTTAATGCTACATTTGATCAAGTGTTCTTCCTATTTATTGAAGGTGGAGATGTGGTGAAGATCACCCAGCTGGCCAACATAGCAGGTGGTCAGAATCGTATCTCCCCCCCAGAGACCCCCGTTACTCTGCAGTTTCAGGGAAACAAGTTCACACTTTCCCCCAGCCAGCTCCGCCAGCTCACCGCTGGGCAGCCCTTGCAGCTTCAAGGTATAATCGGTAATGTACATCCCATTGTCACACTTTCTCTTAACTTAAGCTTCTCTTCATTTATTCCTCTTCATTTCCATGTTGTTGTTTTTTTTGCTTTGTTCATTACCACACTGGTGATCAGTTTTCAAACATGAAATTATGAATGTTTATTCCATCTCTCTCCAAGTCCTCAAGGCATGGTGGCCTAACACTTACTTGCAGCATCCCTGGTTTGTTTCTGGCGAGGGACCTTTGTTGCATGTCATTCTCCTCTCTCCCGATGTTTGCATTTCTGTTATTGCCAGTCGGTAAAGGCTGAATGCCAAAGGGAAAGGAATATCTCTCAAACAAGATTAAAGATAAACTTATATTGTCAGTAGTCCTGTTGCATTGTAATTTTCTTAATGTACTGTTTCTGTTATGTCACGCACTTCTTAATTCTTATAGCTCGAGTTGTTTTTTGTTTTTTTACATTTATTTTAATTGCAAAGTGGGTTCTGAATGCCATTTTAGCTAGCATTTGGTTTTGAAAACCTGTCATAACTGCTTATTGGTTGCTCAATATCTGTCCTGGATTTAGGCAACATCCTGCAGATTGTGTCAGCTCCCGGGCAGCAGATCATCAGGCCCCAGGGATCCATGATAATGCAGACAATGCCACAAGCTGTTCCAGCATCCAATGCCTCAGCTACACCTGGCACACTTCATCATACCCTGTCAACAGCCCAACAAGGTGGGACACCTTTGCAGTGCAGATAGTACATTTTTATCTCTGATTAACTGTCTCTTAATCAGTTATTAGGTCCCATCTTCTAGTACCAATGTATTATTATAATGCTGAAAGTTCATCATTTTTGTCAGACCTAAAATTCTGTCTTGTACCCAAAATTACCCTTGTTTTCTTGTCCAGTATGTTTAACGCTGGCATTTGCAACAACCTGTTCTTTATGTTGACATTTATACTCCTTTTTAAGCATTGGGTGTGACTACAAATGCCACATCGGCCCCCACCAAGCTCACTACTGCACCTCATGCTGGTTCTCAGGTCAGTACTTTTTTTACTAATTTAAAGTCAAAGAATGTTTTTAATTAATTAATTAATTAATGTGGCTGTGTGTACCACCTTTGTATTGTTCAGGATTCTTCAGAAGAAAAGACGCAGCAACTGAAGGAGCGTTTAAGCCGTCTGTTTAAAGCAAACGAACAACGCTGTAGTCGCAGAGTCTTGTATGGGTTAGACCTGCTGCAAGCATGTACTTTGAGCTCAGAGCCTGGTCACTCCGCTCTGACCGCTGGAGGCTGGAGGTGGGTGGGCAGAGAGAGCTGCTTCAGGGCACAGAGAACCTGTGTGGCTACCACCTCTACACTGCAGTCCACTCTGCTCTCTGTGGAGGACCGCCTGAGGGCTGCCAACAGCCTTATCAAGAGGTACTTGAACTCAGGAGTCTCCTTTATTCTGTAACACACATTGTTTGAAACTATCATAAAATATGTATAAATCCATGCATTGTGGTTACATTGCCTTTCATTCAGTATTAAAAATAATCTTTATTCCTCCGCAGAGAGTCACTTTTTGCAGTGAATTCCATGTGTATGTTTTATAGTGACTATCTGATGTGCATAGAGTTACTCCTAAGTGTTGATCGCTATTGTCATCTTTCAGGCTAGTTTGTGTGGTGCCTCCAGCTGTAGCACCACCACCTCACTTGTATGCAGCCAATCCCCCAGTTCTCTACAGCCTTGAACAGAAGTCCTTTCGCCGTGAGCTACAGGAGGCATGTGCTCCACACAGTGCTGATGTCCATGCCTTGGCATCCAGGCATCTTTTCTGTTTTCCTGACTTGCAACTAATGCAGATGGACTCAGGTTAGTCTGGCACTTTTTTTTCATTTTGTACATTCATAAAACAAAAATCTGCTAATTCAAACATACTAATAACTACACCATTAGCAACTAGTATAACATATGTAATGTTTGTCAAAAAAAAGCACCACTTTAATCCTTCTGACAGGGTGCATGAGTCATCCTATGTTTTTTTTTTTTTTGAGTAAACCTTTTTTCAGGCAGAGACAAATAGACTCTGCATAGCCAAAATCTCTTGGACACAATATATGCTGAGATATATACACAGTTTTTTGATATAATTTAATAAAAGTAGTTCCAACATCATCTGCCTGCTGTTCAGGGCAGTTTAAAAGGAAAAGACTGTGTAAGAGAGCATTAACAAGTGGGGTAAAAAGGCTTTTTTTATGCCGAGATATAGTATTCTCAATGTAAATAATTTTGGGGTTGCAGAGAAAAATCTGTATGCATAATAAGAGTAAAAAAGCATCATTTTGAAATTTTTTTTTCCCCAAAGGTAAACTGGAGGCTCTTGCCATTCTGCTACAAAAGCTTAGGTCAGAGAGCCGCCGCGTTCTAATCTTTACCCAGATGGTAAAGATGCTAGACATTCTGGAGGCCTTCCTAAACTACAGGCAGCTTACTTATGTGCGGGTTGATGAAAGCTTCACTCCTGAGGAACGACAGGTAACATCACCACCATTCAAATGCTCCTGGCAAGCCATACAAACAACAAGCTTGTTAGGTGAAATTAAGTAAACGTTACCTACATTCCAAATGTGCCATTGTGTTATTGGAAATGATATGTCGAAATAGAGCAATAACTGTTGATGTAAAGGATAGAGGCAGGTATAAAGTTGACCAGCATGTGCAGTAACGGCCAAGATTATATTTAGGGTCAGTTTTGATCCAGGAAAGAAACCTTTGTCTTGTATACCCACAGGTCAAGTGTTTACCAGTAGTCATGTAAGAGCAAAGTCAAATGAGACACCGGAACTGATCAGATGTTACAGCGATCATTAACCACTATGTTGTGTAAAGTGCCCTGACATTCTTAAGTTTGCTCCTTATGTCTACAGTCAGCATTAAACCTTTAAACTACAAAAAACATAAAATGCCATTCTGTTTGCTTTTGCGTACTTTTTCCATGTGTAGAGTGGTTCTGCTCTGTCTGATCTGTTATATTGAAAGACTAATCTTAAATAAAGATGCTGACAACAACAACAAATTGGCCAGATAAGTCAAAAGAGAGAACGATAAAATTTAATTTTAATGAGCTTATGGGGAATGTAACTGTTGCATATAAATAAGGATGAATGTACAGTAACGTACTGTTAATATAAAAAGGAAAAGGTTTTAGGTTACCATTCAATGTACAAACCACTGAGAAAAGTGAAGAAAGCACATGAAATAAGTGAAATTTTAGAAGACAGGTGTGGTTATTTGCCTTTGTCCCAGTGTATTCATGTGTTGGTGCTGTGTCCCTGCAGGAGAATATGAAGACATTTAACAGGAACAGGCAGGTGTTCTGTAGCATCTTGACCAACCGTTGTTGCTCTGCAGTTGGCACTGTGTTTGATGCAGACACCATCATCTTCTATGACACAGACCTCAATCCCAGCATGGATGCTCGCACCCAGGAGTGGTGTGACAAAATAGGGCGCTCAAAGGATATACACATATACAGGTTATTAAAATCTCCCTTATTTTTATGTTCCTTAATACATCACCATTAAAACTCTAAGCAGTAAAGGTACCATCTAAACATTACCTCGGACAGACTTAAATGTTACTTTTGGTTACTTTTTGGATGTTGCCCAGGTTGGAGAGTGGGAATTCCATTGAAGAGAAGCTGCTGAAGAATGGCACCAAGGACCTGATTAGAGAGGTGGCTGCACAGGGTACTGACTACACCTTGGCTTTCCTCACACAAGTAAGATGAACTCATTGTGGCCTTGTTGTGGAGACTGTACATACCTCTATTCGTTTAATTTGCTTAAAGCTACATTTATTCAAACTATGAATGTCTTTTGTCCAAGTGAGAAGGAACCAAGGCACCTAGTGTTACATAGGGACATAGTATAACCAACCTAATATGTTATCTGTAACTAGCGGACAATCCAGGATCTGTTTGAGGTAGAGGCTGGCTCAGGGGAGAAGGTGGAGGAGTTTGTCGTTCTTCACCAAGAGCCATCGGCGTCTGAAGCTATCTCTCCCAGAGTGGCTAGACCCTATATCCAGGCCCTCCACAGCATAAACCTGGATGTCCTGCCTGAGGAGAAAGAACAGCAGGATCAGGAGGAGTTGGCAGGCAAGGAAACAACAGAGGGCAGCCAGGAGTCAGAGACCCAAGCTAAAGAAGAGCTTGCTCAGATAGAGGAGCTGAACGCAGTCATGGAGCAGGTAGCTTTTTTTTGTTGTTTTTATATGCAGTTTAGAAATTGGTGGTAGAATAGAATAAAAAAAAGATATTGTGAATTTAAATTGTTTTTTGTTTTGCTGAGCTTATATTTCCATTTACCTATCCCTCAAACAGCTCACACCAATTGAAAGGTATGCCCTGCATTACCTGGAGTATCTTCACATCAGCGACAGCGAAACTGCACTGAAGGTAACTTCAACACTAATCTAACCAAAGACTGTTTCATGTAAATAGATTTGAGTTATATATTTACAGACTAACTTGTGCAGATGTGGAATTCTGTTCATTGATTGACCATTATTTCAGCTCAGCTATGTTGGCATTAGAGTGTACTATTTGCACCTTAGATAAATATGACTGATTGGTACATGTTTTGTTTTTGTCTTCCTCAGGAGCAGTTGGAAAGCTCTAAAAGAGGCTGGGAGCTGCGGCAGCTGCAGAAGCTGAAGGAGGAAGAGGAGGAGCGACAGGTGATGGAAGGAGATGAAGATCTCTTCACCTACACCAGAGAGGACGCCTATAACATGGTGGGTGGCCAGTGTGACTTCTGCTAAACAAACAAAAAGTGGTGTGTGGCTCATGGAGCACTGTTGCTGATATTAACCTGTTCTGTACGATTCAACAGGAGTATGTGTTTGAGGCAGAGGATGGTCATACTGAAATCATGCCGGTAAGACACCAAATATGATGTAATTGGCAAATGTAAAATTAGGATCTTCCATGTTCTCTCCCTGATTTATAGGAATTGAGGCACAACAAAGTCTCACTGTTTTCTGGCTCTGTTCTGACTTGCAGATTTGGACTCCACCCACACCGCCACAGGATGACAACGACATTTACATCGACTCTGTGATGATGTTGATGTATGACACTACACCTATGCCAGAGTCCAAGTTGCCTCCTGTCTACGTTCGCAAGGAGCACAAAAGACTCAAAATGGACCCGTCAGGTGAGGGGAGGCTTTTCCATAAATGCCCTCATTTAGAGCTTTGTATAATGGTGTCAGTCCTGTAGTGGCTGTGATTGCATAGTTATTGATATGTATATTTACTCTACTGGGAACATTTATTTTGTTCTAAAAATTGCATTTGCTGCTTTCAGGCAAAGAGTTGTTGTAAATCCTAGAGTCAGTGTATATTTTAAGGGAAAGACTTTTTTGAAAATCCTTTCTAAGAATAGATGCATGCTCAAGTGTCATTATAGGTCTGGGTAGTTTCTCTGCCCTTACTTGAGTGTGTTTATCGAGCAGCAGCGAGAAAGAAGAAGAAGGGTCATGGGGAGACGGTCATTCCTCCACGCTCCCTTTTTGAAAAGGCCAGCATGCTGAAAGTTCGCCGTGAGGGCAAAGACCAGAAAAAGAACTTCTCCCTCAAGCAGCAGGCACCCTTTGCCAAGCCCCTGCCCTCACTGGTTAAACCTGCCATGGAGGCTGGCCAGGACAACCCAGAATGGCTCATCAGTGAGGACTGGGCTCTGCTTCAGGTACTTCACAGTCCTCCCATAATGTTTTTATGTAGATAAATAAAGCTATTGAATTGCATGTTGCTTGGTGAACCATGTTGTTGTAAAAGTATTCATTGTCCATTGTTATTCTGATTTCTCCTACAGGCTGTAAAGCAGCTGCTGGAGTTGCCTCTGAACCTGACAATTGTGTCTCCTGCCCACACTCCTAACTGGGACACCTCCCGCCCCCCCAAACAGTGTCGCTGCCGCTACGAGAATGTTATCATTCCCAGAGAAGAGGGCAAGGTACCAAACTCAGGGCCATCCTGTTTTGCTGTAAAACTGGTTTACTCACCTTGTGCTTGTCTAAATCCTGTCTGCAACTTCTTTCAGTTGGTGTATGAGGCTAACCCCAAGAAGAAAACCAAGAGCATCTACAAGGTACCCTATCCCCGTCTTTGTATTTTATAAATGTTTCTTTATTCTGGAATTTCTGGCTTCAACTTATGTTTTGTGTTTCTTTGTATTGTGTGTGTGTGTGTGTGTGTGTGTGTGTGTGTGTGTGTGTGTGTTGTGTGTGTGTGTGTACACATGCTCAGGCTAAGAACAGTCGTCCTCTAAGGACCTGTCAGATCTACGCACAGGATGACAATGCTACTCACATCCAGCTATACAACAGCCGCTTTGAACTCATGAAGATCATTGCCAGCAAGAGGAGCCCACCAATCAAACCGCTGTAAGCACTGATGATTGTCTGTTTACTGTGAGTGGGCCAGTCTTATCAAGGAGCCAACAACAAAACGGGGTTTACACTACTTTATAAAAAATGTAAAATGAAAAAAAAAATAGAAACTGTAAATATTCTTACATAACAGTTGAGTTATTGAGTACGATGTGATCTTTGGTCATGAACTTTGGGTCATGACCGAAAGGGCAAGATCCCGGATACAGGCGGCCGAAATGAGCTTTCTCCGCAGGGCGGCCGGGCGCACCCTTAGAGATAGGGTGAGGATCTCGGTCACCCGGGAGGAGCTCAGAGTAGAACCGCTGCTCCTCCACATCGAGAGGAGCCAGCTGAGGTGGCTCGGGCATCTGTTTCGGATGCCTCCTGGGCGCCTTCCTAGGGAGGTGTTCCGGGTATGTCCCACCGGGAGGAGGCCCCGGGGAAGACCCAGGACACGCTGGAGGGACTATGTCTCTCTTGGCTGGCCTGGGAACGCCTCAGCATTCCCCCGGAGGAGCTGGAGGAAGTGTCTGGAGAGAGGGAAGTCTGGGCATCTTTGCTTAGACTGCTGCCCCCGCGACCCGGTCCCGGATAAGCGGAGGAAAATGGATGGATGGTTGTGAGCTTTGGTTGACAGTGTATAAATTATTGTGTTATTGTGGGGCAGTGACATGGGGCAGAGCTTGATTAATGTAAACAGAGAAACACTATACAATTCCAGCAGTTATTTTATTTAAGAAAATAGTTCAATTAATTTCTAATGAGATATGTCTTAATTTAATTTGCACTACTTACAGGCTTGGCATGAATCCATTCCAGAAGAATCCCAAACATGCCTCAGTCTTAGCAGAAAGGTGTGTTTCAGTGTTGCCATTTTGACTTTTAAACCTTAAATATAAAAATAAATAAAAAAAAGAAAAATTAAGAAAGATGTACAACACCTGTTTTTCATTTCTTCATTTCTTCAGTGGGATCAGCTACGACAAGCCCCTACCACCCATTCAGGTGGCCTCTCAACGTGCTGAAAGGATTGCCAAGGAGAAAAAGGTGACTGCACTTATTTAACCATATGTTACAGCATGCTAGGTGTATGCAGGTCTTACTTCAACAAATAACAATGGCATTTGATTTCACTGTTTACACTGCTGATGAGAAATGTGTTGTTGTAATCTTCACCTGCATGCTTGTTACACATAGATACAAATAGTCGTCTGTCCCTGTCTGACTTCAACTGTTTGTAATGCTGCTATGTTTTGATACTTGTCCTTTGAAAAACCACAGATAAGATGTGCATATTGTCAAAAGCCAGATCCCAGAGAGGCTTAACAGTCCTCTTTAAAACATTTCTTGTCCACTTATCACATACTACGAGAAACAGGAATATAAATCCCTAAGACAAACGTTTTGATAGTGCATCTTCTTCAGTGTCTTAAGCAAAGTGTCTTCTCCACCATTTTGCAAACGGTCATCTGACCTCCCCCTTTCATCGCATGAGCCAAGGCCCAGCTATATCCTAAACATTTACAACAAACAAGAAAGGAGAAACCTCTTTTAATATCAGAGGACTTAAGCATAAGAAAAAACAAAAATCAACCAACCCCCAAACCATATCATATTTATATGTCCAGTGAGGATGACCTATAACCAGTAATCACAAAAAGCATTGTAGCAATAACTCCTCATTTATACCCCAAGGTTGCAAATCTTCAGATAGTAAATCCAGTGGCACTTTCCTCTCAGTAATATATTTTCTACATCATCCCCTCTCCTAGTTTTTTTTATACATTGCATCACTGTAAATATATCAAACAAATTTAGATAACAGCCTCTTTGTTTGGCTTTCAAATTGGCCACAAAGTACACAGGCCATTGGGTATCATGGTGAGCTTCAATCCGCTAGTCCTGGGATCCTGGCAGCGATGTAAAAGCAACACAGGAGCAGCAGTTGGCCAGCTTTTTAAAGTTCAGCATAAAAGGAGCTTAATCAAAAATGCTACACTGAAAAAGGGTTACAATAAAGGCAGTTTGCCACAATCTCTGTATAAAAGGTGCTCAAGTCCTGGTGACATGCTGGAAGCCACAGGTACATGTCAATAATTAGCTCACATCACTGGAATTACAGGTGGCAAAATGTTTCATCTTGTAAATGTGTTTGTATATTTGGCATTAGGACAAGCCACACATCTTCATTTAATCCAAATGGCCAGTAATTTTATCCAAGAGAGAATACAAATCAGCTCTCACATTGTAGTCTCTAATATTGTGGACTCTCTAATGTAGAGAAGCGGGGAAGCACTTTGTAAAGCTGCTCACCAAGTAAATCAGAACTCTGCTTGCCATGTTTTTCAATACTTTTTCTCAGTTGTCCTCGAAAAGGGGTGTTCATAGTGCCACAAATTACTGTTGCTATGTTTTTTAAAGTTCAGAAGTGAAAAACCAAGACTAAAAGAGTGAAAAAAGACAAGTACCAACTTTATAGGCATGAATCAGGAGTACCTGCTCTGTGTGTCTTCTGTCAGTAAAGTAGTACTAGTTCCTTATCATTACTGACATGTTTGCTTTTGTGTTTGTGTTTGCAGGCCCTTGCAGAGCAGCAGAAGGCTCAGCAGTTGGCTCAGCAGCAGACTGGAGCTCCTCAGGCCCAGGCTGCACCTGGCCAGGCTCAAGCTCCTGCTGCTACTCAGGCTCAGGTCCCTCAGGCCGCCGCAGTGACCGGAGTCACTGCTGTGCCTAATGCTGCTGTTCTGGTGAGAAACAAAACATCCTCCACCAATGCTTCTGTGTGTAGTAAGATCTAAAAGAACCACTTTACCAGCGAAGACTCTCACACATTCATGCTTTTCAGACTGGAGCCATAAAAAATGCAGCTGTGGGCACTACGATCCAGGCTGGTACGTAGACACACGTTTCACATTTACAGAGCTGTTGATGTTCCACTAGTTAAGACATTTGTCTTTGTTACAGCTGCTGTAGGGGGGAATGTGATTGTGAACACAGTAGCTGGTGTTCCTGGAGCTCCAAGTCCCTTCCAGCCCAACAAACGCCTGGCATCTTCAGTCACCCTGTCTGTGAGTCATGTTCATTTATCACTGCTACACTGGTGTGACTCAGCCACCTGCTGACTAACAGGAATTCATGACGCAAATAGCCTTTGGATTAGCATGAAGCAGAATACACACCCCACTACACCCTGTAAACAGAATGATCTTTACAAGGGTTGGAGCATTTTCTCACTGTGTGCTGTTGTTGTGTGGTGTTTCTGGTTCAGCCTGCTGGTGCAACTGGGGCCCAAGT